ACAGGCGGCACCGGAAGCGCTCGAACGACGTGTCCATCGGCGGTGACAATCAACTGATGCCCTCGTCGTCGGCCACTCGTAAGGCAGACAACGACCCGTTGACACCAGTGGTGACCAAACACGTGGTGACCAACGAGTCCTCGGCCGCGGAACGGACCCCATATCACGTGGACTGCAATGGACTCCGATTAGGCCAATACCGGTGCCATAAACTAGATGTCGATCCCGAGACACAACAGCCCCGCACCTGTAATAAGAAGAACAAGGCGTACGTGAACTGCACGCTCACGAGTGGACTGGTATGTGAGGACACCGGGAGTGAGAACTTCTCGATGCCAGTGGACTGTCGCCACACGAATGGCTACTCGTATGAGACGGCACTCCTGTTGTCGATATTCTTAGGCATGTTCGGCGCCGACCGTTTCTACTTGGGTTACCCGGCCTTAGGTCTACTCAAGTTCTGTACGCTGGGGTTCCTCTTCTTGGGACAGTTGGTCGACATCATACTGATTGCGCTACAGATCGTAGGCCCGGCCGACGGCTCCCATTATGTGATCAAATACTTCGGCCCGAAGTTAGACATCGTGTCATTCAATGAGAACACAGACATTATATACGAAAACAATTGGTACATGAATTGAGCGCTCATTTGTGGACACCTTTTAGTGATTCTCGCGTTTTATCGATGAATTTGTATGAATACTTATGTGCAGTATTTGATGGTTTGGTTTGAATTGAATGATTAAATAGTCATTGAGTGCTATCATTGTCTATATCATAGATTTTGAGGTTAATTTAATAATTTTATTGTTTGTATGTTTTATATAATAGCGGTTCGACTACAAAATAACTTATTTGTATTTTATAATGATATTTGTATTTTATATTATTTGAACATGAAATAATAAAATATAAATTAGTTTTTATAAATGTATGTAAAAGTTGCAACTTTAAGAAAATATTGAGAATATTCTGACGAACTATAATCTAAAGCTTATATTCTAAACAGTGTTTAATAAATCCAGAATCTAATGCATTCAATAATTCATTCTAACGGTTCAATTGGTTTAGAGTTATATATAAAAATTGAAAAATACTTTGTTGTCCTCAGAGCTAATAACATAATAGATATTTAATCTCATAATTTGTAATAACTCGTGACGAAGGCTCCGATTAGGACCGAAAGTACTCGAGTATTCAGATCTAATAAATACCATTAAATCTTCACTAAGTCTAAAGAGTTATTTCACATCATATTTAAACTATTGCTATAATTTATATCATATACCTGTATAATGCATGCATTTGTATGTATTGTTCAATTGTAATCATTGTATTACATTATTGAATGCTTTAGTTTTTAAGGTATATTTTCTGTTCAATGAATTCTTGAGACCACACTTTAAACAACTTCAGAGAAATTCATACAATTTTTGGTAATAGTTTTCCTCTCATTTGTCTCTATGGAGCGCATGTCCTAACAATTAACAACTTTTCAAATCAATTGCACGGATTTAAGCCGTAATCTAAGCCAAAATGTCTTCAACTGAAATGAGTGGCCAGTTATCACATGCGGGCGAATCCACAGCAAATGTGGCTAAAGATGTGGTCGCACTCGAGAAGACTGCCTTCAATTGGGAGACATATGACGATAGGGGAGACGTTTTGCGAGATTTGCGACAAAATCAAGAGTTCGTTGATATAATGCTTGTGACCGAAGACGGCGGCGCAGAGTTGGCACACTTTGCGGTGATCTCGGCATTGGGTCACCATTTGACTCAATACGTGGACCAACAGATGAATGCTTCCGACGCCGAGGACGTGACTCTCGACAACGGATTTGTGGCGAAAAAAGTTTTGCTCACAAATGTCAACAAATGTGTCCTCAAAATAATAGTCGACTGCTCTTACAATGGATCCATTGAGACGGACAACGACACCGTTTGGTCACTCATTGATACGGCCGTTGAGTACGAACTCCAAGACGTGTTGGACTCGAGTCTCACTTTCCTGATGACACGACTCGATGTCCATAATTGCGTCCAAATCTTCCATTTGGGTCTTAAGCACAGACACCGCCTCTCAAACGCCTCCTATGCCTTCATTAAAACCAATTTCACTGAAGTCTGAATAGAAATCTTAATTTTGAATTTATTTTCATGTGAAATAATAATTCTTCATATGTTGCCATAGATTGTCAGCATATGTGTCGACTTTTCGGTCCTAGATTTGGATGAATTGGTGACACTTATACTCGACGACGAACTCAATATCCAAACCGAGAGAAGAGTTTTCGATGCCATCATTCGTTGGGTTCATCACGACATCGACGCCCGAAGAGGTTATCTCTCGGCTCTTATATCGAGAATACGGTTCGCCAGACTTGACATGCCTTTCATCGATGAGATGACCCGA